GAGGTTGTCACTTCGGGGGGGGGGGTCTCCACTGCCACCCCACCTCATATTTCTACATGAAGGGACTTCAGCTAGAGGACATTCCAGTCCTCTCTCCACTCTTACTTCTCCTCCCTCAGGACACCTGTACTTTATATTGTGCTCTGTAGTAACTTTATGGGGGAAGGCTCTGCCTGGCATGGGTAAAGGGAAGACCTGGAATGTCTAGCATTGCCCATGACTGGGGTTCAAGTTTATCTAAGTCAGGAATGAAGGATTAGGATGCCCGCCGAGGCTTTGTTTTTGGCTTGTTTTTTCTAATCATCATACCTTTTATTTATTTTATTTTTCTTGCCTTATTGCATTGGCTAGGTCCTCCAGTACAATGTTGACTAAAAGTGCTGACAGTGGACAGCAATCCACAGTAATAAGGCTGATGTCTCTCTGACCAATTCCTATAGCTATCTCTCAGTCTGTTCTGAATTGTGAGGGAGATGTTATTTATAGGCCTCCTAATACTTCATTTTATAGAGGAGAAACTCTGAGGTAACTTACCCAAGGTCACACATCTGTTAAGTGGCTAAGTTCCTATATAAATCCCACTCCATTTGATTTCAAAGACCATAATCTTAATTACTACACTATAAAGGCTTCAATAAAACATGTTCTATAAGAACAATAATTTAACAGTGTGGTACTGGAGTAAGATCAGAAACATGCACTGTTGGAATAGAATACAAAGCAGCAATTATATGTAAGAACCAATTATATACAAAAATGCAATACACAGTAAAGAAAGAATTATAAAATGAATCAAATGGTCAGCAACTTGGGGTAGGAGGAAACTAGCTAACACTATATTTAACACTAAAATAATCTCCAGGCAGATGACAGCGTTAAAACTTACATAAATAAGTAATAAAACTCCACAGTAGCTAGTAGGAAATATTGAAGATTTTCTTACTCTCTGGAAAAGCATTTATGTTTTCCTTAAATTCTTTAACTTTTCTTAAACTTCCAGAACGATTTATAAGTTTCCAAGCAATAGAAGAAATCACAAGGAAAAAGATGAATCTTTCTGGCTATGGGATGGGGTGGGGGGTAGAGGGCATTCCCCTAAGAGGGACCACGGGGGACGAAGACAGTGACCAGCAGTGTAAACCATCTATGAAGACTGAGAAATAGACCAACATATGGCTGCCATGTTGCCAGTGCCTGGAATCCCCTGGCCATCCTTGGATGTTCACCTAGGCCACACCCTCAGGGCAGACTCACGTCCTTGGCTGTGTACTACATCCCTGGTTTGTACCCTTACATCCTTGGATTTCCATAGATGTACCTTCTCTTGGCTTCATGCACCACTGGTTTCCCACAAAAGTGCTCCTGTGGGGAGTTGCTTTGAGATGTATGGGCAAGTGCACATCCACTGGGGAGATGCAGCCAGTGACTGGGCACAGACCAGGCCCCCACTGTCTGCATAGTCTGGGCCTCCCTGGGTAGCCAGCTCACTCCAGAGTGTGGCAGCTGAGGGCATGGCCCGAGCCCCACCAGGCAGGGAGACCTGAGGTCGACCCAGACTGGACCCGTGAGAGCCTAGGAACAGCTCATCCCTCTGCTGCATTCCAGCTCCTACTGCCTCCCCTATAACCCCATCTTGGACGCCTCTGCAGCCCAAGCAGCACTGCACATCTGTGCCTGCTCTGATCGCTGGCTGCAGGCCTTGAAGGATAAGTGGTATTCCCTTCATCTGCGGGTTCAGCTCAGTTCTCTAGGCCTTCCTACCCAGGCTGGGAGGAGGCACCACCACCTGCTCGGGGCTCTCCAAGGGAGCAATGCTGACCACTTTGTGCTTCCCAGGTCTGCTTATGCCCAGCAAGTCCCACACTACCCTTTACCCACCTCCAGCTGGTCCAGCCCCAATGCCCAACATCTGCCTGAGCTTAATCCCCAGACCCAGAACTTCCCCTTAGAACTTGAGTTCTGCCCCGAGCTCTGTCTGGAGCTTGGCTGAGCCCTCGATCCATCTCCAGGCCCTTGCAAAACCCTTTCCCTGGAAGGCCAGACCCCATTGCCCCTCTCCACCTCCATGCCCAGGGGCCCAGCTAAAGCTGAGTATGGCACCTGCCACACAGTAGGCCCTAGATAGATATTTGCCAAATGAATCAATTCCACAACAACCCCTTGAATACTTCAGTGATCTACTTGACCCATCCCCTCATCCTTGACCCTAGGGGTGGGATGCTTTGGGCCAGGAAATGAGAACTTGCTTGATGCAATCCTATTCATGCCCCTTCCCCACTACACACACGCACACACACGCGTGTGCGCGCGTGCACACACACACAGCCCATTTGCCTCTCCCTTCCCTGGGGAGGGTATGCCCTTCCTGATTCAGACAGAGCGCCTCCTCTAGGGCACACAGAGCAGGGCTCCAGCACCAGAAGGTTCTCTGAGTGTCACCTTTTCTGTTGCCCAGGGGTTTTCTGGAGTTTTCA